TGTCACACGACGCACGCCACCGGGCCAGCTTCCGGCTGTCAGCAGCAGGGCGCGGGCACGCGGGCGGTGGGTTTCTGAATGGGCGGAGCAACTTTTCCTCACTTCCGCTTTCCTCTGCTGCCAGCTGTCCTACATCGCTGAAGATGAGAACGGGAAGATTGTGGGCTACGTCCTGGCTAAAATGTGAGTCATCCAGGAGGAAGGGACAAGTCTGGGGGGAGGCCAAAACCACCGTGTTTGGGGAGAGCTGCTGTGGGTTTTTAAAAATACTAAACTGTCCTGGCGTGGTAGCGCATGCCTGTCACCCAGGCAATCGGGAGGCTGAGGCAGGAGAATCACCTCGAGTTGGAGGCCAGCCTGGGCTACCCAGAGTGACCCTGTCTCAAAAAGCAAATAACACTAAGCTGTTTTTTTAGGACAGCTTAAAGTTTATGGAGCAATTGAGCAGAGGACACAAAGAATTTTCATGTAAGCTCTTCCATCTGCCATAGCATCAACATGTTGTGGCAAAGGTGGGACCTGACAGCAAGACTGTTTACCTAAATTCTGAGCTGACCCCACTGTGGCTCTCCCTAGGAATTGCAAGGGCCCTCCTGAGGTGGTCCCACCACCAGTGGCTGTCCCTGTCCCTGTGTTACACAGTTTCACAATTTCTCCTGGGTCTGGACAGTGAGTGTCCACTCCACCGCACCTTCATCCCCCAGGGCAACAGTGCATCTTGTACAGGCCCACAGCGTGTGTATGTGTGTGTGTGTGTGTGTGTGTGCGTGCGTGTGTGCGTGTGTGAAGTCGCTGCCTTTTCAGACTGGCTTCTCCTACATAGTAACATGTGTTTAAGGTTTCTCCCAGTCATTTTGTGGCCTGACTTTTTTTTTTACAGCTTATTGTCATTATTTTTTTTCTTTGGTGTTTTGAGATAGGGTCTTGCTATGTAGTCCAAGCTGGCCTCAAATTCACTATGTAGTTCAGGCTGGCATGGAACTCATGGTGATCCTCCTGCCTCGGCCTTCTGATTGCTGGGATGACAGGCTGTGCCAGCTAATTTGTTTTGAATCCTAAAGCAGTATTCTGTTTGTTGACACTGTACAAGTCTGATGGCTGCAGGGTGGGGTTTAGGGACTGGTTCTAAGGCAGTGCAAGGACCACAGGTCCCAGAGGGTGGCCGGGCCCACACCACTCACCTGTGTACCCATCTCCTTTCTCACTCAGGGAAGAGGACCCGGATGACGTACCCCACGGACACATCACCTCACTGGTGAGTGGGGCACCCCAGCCACTGGCAGGGGGTGGGTAAAGGAGCTGGAGGCTCCCCTGGGCCCACTGCACCGCTCTCCTCCCTCCAGGCTGTGAAGCGCTCCCACAGGCGCCTAGGCCTGGCTCAGAAGCTCATGGACCAGGCTTCGCGAGCCATGATCGAGAACTTCAATGCCAAATACGTCTCCCTGCACGTCAGGAAGAGGTGGAGGCCGGGCTGGGGTGGGCTGGGCGTGCCTTCGGGAGGGTTCAGGCTGGCATGTCAGGGAGGGCCGGACTGGCCGCTGCTGTGCAGCTCAGCAGCACCTTCTTCCCTGCAGTAACCGGGCTGCCCTGCACCTCTACTCCAACACCCTCAACTTTCAGTAAGTAGAGGTGGGGCTTAGGTGGTGGGGCCACCAGGTCAGCAAGCTGAGGAGAGAGGAGACCTAAAGTGCGTGCTCAGGGCAGACCCTGTCTCAAAAATTAAACAAAACAGGGCTGGGGATGTAGTTCAGTACCTAGGCTGCTAAGTCCCATGTGTTAGGGCCTGAGTCCAGTGTGCACACACCTGCCAGTGACAGGCGGTGGGGAGGGGAGGACAAAGTAACCCAGGCTTGAATTCCCATGGACCACACTGGCAGGGCACTGCCTCTGGCGGAAATGAGGCTGCTGGGAAAGTGTTTCCACCCCAGGCTCGGCTCCTCTTCTTGCCTCAGGATCAGTGAAGTGGAGCCCAAGTACTATGCAGACGGGGAAGATGCCTACGCCATGAAGCGGGACCTCACCCAGATGGCCGACGAGGTGAGAGCCCACCTGGAGGGCCCCGAGCAGGGCTGCTCTAGGTGGCCGGGGCTTCCTGAGCAATCCAGGGGGAAGTGGCCCTGACCCCCTTTAGAGAAGACATTGGAAGCCAGCCACTGTGGTGCACGCCTGTCATCCCAGCCTTGAGGCAGGAGGATCGCTGTGAGTTTGAGGCCAGCCTGAACTATATGGCAAGACCCTGTCTCAAAAAAAAAAACAAAAACAAAAACAGAGAGGGCATGGGCCCCAGAGGTAGGATCTTAGGGGCAGATGGGTGGCACTGGGGACAGCAGAGGTGGCCTGTTTTGGTCTAGGGACAGGCAGAGCTGGGGTGCAGCAGTCTCCCCCTGCCTGGCTGGCTCCCTTGCCGTCACCTGGAGACTTAGGCCCTGTCCTTTTGTTCCCACGTCAGCTGAGGCGGCACCTGGAGCTAAAGGACAAGAGCAGGCACGTCGTGTTGGGTGCCATTGAGAACAAGGCAGAGGGGAAAGGTGCCCCACTGCCGGGCCCAGGGGAGGCCTGCCGGGAGGAGAAGGCCTTGGCCGCCGAAGACAGCGGTGGGGACAGCAAGGACCTCAGCGAGGTCAGTGAGACCACAGAGAGCACGGATGTCAAAGACAGCTCAGAGGCCTCCGACTCGGCTTCCTAGAGCCTGCGCCATCCGCCTCAGCCCTTGGGCTGTCCCAATAAAGCTCAGCGCGTGGCCTTGGGGAATTTGTGTGCGCTGCATGCGTGGGGTCTCCTGCTCCTACCCCCAGCTCCAGCCCCAGCCTTGTAGGTCACTTGCTGCCCTAGCCACTCACTTGAAAATAACTCACAGACTTCAGCACGGTTAGGTTACAGAGAAGTGGATTGGACAGTAATGACCCCTTACTGTTCCCCCTATTATTGTTGGTTGTGTGCAGAGCCAGGTGTGGTGGTGCACACCTGTCACCCCTGCACTCAGGAGGCTGAGGCAGGAGGATCGTTGCAAGTTCGAGGCCAGCCTGGGCTACATAGTGAGACCCTGTCTCAAAACAAAAACAAAAAGAACTAGTTGGTCTTTTGCAACAGGGTCTCGAATTTGCAACGATCCTCCTGGCTCAGCATCCCCTGAGCTGGGCTGGGCTGACAGATGTGCGCCACCCCATGAGCCCTTTATTACCATGGTCTAGTAGCTGGTGCCTCCGTCACTGCTGATGCCCAATTCTGTCCTGTTAACTGTGGCCCGTGGTCTGCATTAGCTTCCCTGCTCCTGTACTGGACTGGGCTCCATCCGCGGCCCTTTTAAATTTGTTTTGAACTCTAAAATCTGTCCCACTGAGTCATCACACTGCCGAGGCATGTCACATCGTCCCTATGGGTTCTGACAAAGGCACAGTCGTGTCCACCGCGGTCTCCTGCCTGTCATCTCTGGAAGGACAAAGACCCAGGTCCAGCTTCTCGCGACCTCACCCTGACCTTGGCAGTCGCCCTGCGCCTTTCTTCCTTGCCCTCCCCACTGGCGGCGGCGCCATTGAACCCCGTCCCCG